GAGGACACATATGCCTCCACACAGACACACCTCGTACAGGGCAGTGCTAGTGGGGGGGGAGGGAGGTGGCAGGGCTGGGTCAGCGTGGCCACTGACTTATCAGAACATCTAGCATTATCTCCCGTAGTTGTCATATTGTGGGGAAGTCTGGGGAGGGGGAAGGCACCAAGGCGGCCCTGTGGCATGGGACTTGCAGCAGCAGCTAAGACTGATACTGAAGTATGTCAATATTATAGTAAGTGGTTTAGAGCAGGGGAGTGACCATTAATCCTCAGGGGTGAAGGGAGCCCCTGGTCCCGGGAGAAAGCTGAGAGCATTTCTGTTTTAAGGGCCTGAATGAGAACTGGGAGTTTGGACAGGGAGCAGAGGTGGTTCTGCCTTCTTCTGGCACATTCTGGAGGCTTCTCTGGCCTGGTTCCATTTTTATAGGGCTTTACATTTTTAAAGGGTTGTAAAAAAAAAAAAAAAGCAAAGAATATTTGACTGAGACCTTAAGCCCGAAATATTCACTATCTGGCCTTTTACATAAAAAGTTTGCTGACTCCTGATTTTCCAGATGGGAAAACTAAGCTCCAGAGAGGGAAAGTGACCTGCTCAAGGCAACACTGCAGATTGGTGGCTGAGCGCTGTCTTGTGCCCGCCAGTCTCGTGCTTTTCCTTCGGCATTGCAGTGAGCATAGGGAGGTGGCCTGTCAACGCTGGGTCAGCAGCTCGTGAGAGCAAGGGGGTGCAGAGGGGACCTAAATGGATGTGTGTGCCCCTAATGGTGGTAGATGCTTCAGTACGCCTTCCCTGGCAGTTACTTTGAATGAGGTATGTTTTGCCACCTTTTACCTGGGGATCTCCAAGCACATGCCTGAATTCAGAGAATGCAGTTGCTGGTTTCTGTACAGTTTTTTCCCTGTGGTCTGGCCTGTTTATCAAGAGCTCTGTTGATCAGAATACTCGAGTAGGTGCAGGCACACACATGCAAACATGTGCAGGGGCCTTCTGGGGAAGTGACTTTTCTGGGTAACTGAGGGTTAACTGGAAACCTGTGTTCTTAGGCCTTGTTGAAAATTTTTCTACAAATGATGAGCATTTCCCCAACTTAGTATTTTGAAAAGTTCCACCACTTTCTAAATATGTGACCTTGGTCAAGTTACCTAACCTCAGTAACCTCAGTTTCCTTATCTGTAAAGCTCGCAGAGCGATCCCTCGCTAGTTTGTGAAAGGCACTAGAAAGAGGAGCGCGTGTTCTCTAGAAAAGGAGCCGCTCTCACTGTGGTTGTATTGTGATTCGCTGGTCAAGGAGATGCAGAGTCGACTGAGGCTTTTTGCAGGGACTTAGGATTATGGTTTGGATGCCACTGCACATTCTGTACATGCAGACGTGGAGATTGGCTAGAATTGGCATCAGTCTGCAGTTTCTGTCCCAATTAAGTTCTCCCAAGGAGATGGTTTTCTTATGATTTGCTGCTTTCTCATAAAAGCCAGTGCGGTCGGGGCTGCCTGCAACGAACGGAGGACTCTTGGCCCGGAGCCTGACTGCTCTCTTTATTTGAGTTTGTTGTGCCTCCTCTGGGAAAGGGTCAGCAGATAAAGGCAGGGCTGGGGCTCAGCCTTCCCGGTGTTCCATCCCACCCCCACCCCATCCCATCCTCCGTGCACACAGCCCAGGACCCACCACCATGCCAGAGGGCCAGCCAGGAAAGAGACAGGGAAGGGGGAGGCTCGGCCGGCCGCTGAGAAGGCAGGAAGGCCTGGCAGTGAAGGGCATCCTGGTCTGGGGAGAAAGCTGACAGGTTCTGGATTCCCAGCAAGTGTAGGGGGATCGGGAGAGGAGGAGATCAGTTTGGGTCTCAGTCTTGGCCTGGTGCATTCTGGGAAGCTTTTTCTGACTGGTCCCAGATTGAGGAGTTAAGGGGGCTGCCTAAAGTGGGGAACCCAAGCTCCATGGAACTGCTCCTGTCAACTGTGGAGGGGGAGGAGGCAGCCACAGATGGGGAGAGTGACCACTAGGCACCCCACCCTGCAGGGCCCACTGCCCTCTGGTCTTATCCTCTCTGCTTCAGCCACTCGCCCCCTCAGGGCTGAGGTGGAGGGGGCTGCTGATGCCATGAGTCGGAGGTACAGTACCCATCTTCGGTGGAAGAGAATGGCTTAGAGCCGCATCAACTCCCAGCCCTGCCTCTTCCTGGGTGGCTTGGGCATGCCCCTTAGCCTCTGGGTCTCGCTCTCCTTATCTGTAAAGTGGGAATACTTACCTCTTGGTAGTGATGTGAAGACAGCGTGAGGTTAATGTGTGAAGAATCAGCCTCTTGTGGGTCACTAGGCTTCCAACCTGCATCCTGCTATCTTCTCAGAGCTGGGCAGAGTTGCATCCGGCCCAGGGGTAGGCAGGGCCTTACAGACCAGGGCAGAGCACCATTGGCTTTGGTTTCTGGGCTGAGGGACAAAGGCTTTCTCTAGTCCTCATCTGTTTTCAGTCTCTCCTCAGTCCCTCTTCAGATCAGTCTCTCCTAGCCTCTCCGCTTCTCTCTCTCTGTCTTCACAAGCCACTCCGGGCCCCCAGCCTTCATATGGAGGCCTGCCAGGCTGGTACAGGGCCTGCAGTGGGCATGCGGAAGTGCTGGCCCGGGGGACCCACTCCCCTTACACTTGCTTTTCTCCACCTCAAGGGGGCACCCCCTGGCACTAGAGGCTCACCATGGAGCCTGAGCTCCTGCACACTCAGGAGAAACTGGGGGGGAGGGTGGGGGGATGCACATATGGTGTATTGAACAAGAGAAGACACACGTGCCGAGCACAGACTGTGTGCAAAGACAGTGCCACTCTGAGGAGAGGGAGAGATGGTGCAAAAAGTATTCTTGCTATTGCTAAATAAAAACACCACTTTGGAAATGTATGGCATAGAAAACTTCACAAGCACTTTCCTACACTGTCTCATTTTCATCCTTCCCACAATAGTCCCTGATTTCAAAAAGCTGATAATTTAGTTACTGGAGAAAGTTGTGAATAACTATGATACAATGCAGTGAGGGCAATATGAGGGGAAAAAAAATCCCTAATCTGGAAGTATCTAGAGGTAAGGACTTGAGTCAAGGTCCTAAAAACGGTAGGCAATTAAGAAATGTAGGTTGATTTGTTGTTAATGGAGTTATGTGGCAGAATCTGGATTTTGACGGAGTTAGCCAAAAAAAAAAAAGAAATTTCCCAGCATCCCTTGCAGCTAGGGGTAGCCTTGAGACCTAGTGCTGGCCAATGAGATGTGAGGAGAAGTCAGCAGGAGACTTCTGGGACAGTTTAACTTTCCTGATATAGGTCCCGCCCCTTCCTCTTTGTCACTTCCTTTTTCTTGCTGCTTGGAAGGTGGAGAGAGGCTGAGGTGAAGCAGTTATCTTGAAACCATGAGGAAGAAAGCTACTTGGCAAGGAAGCAGAACGGGAGGCTGAAAGGATGTTGGATCCTTGATGATTTCCTTGAGCAGCTGCATCAGCCTGGACCTCCCCCTCCAGTCCTTCTTGTCCTTTGAAATAATCCCTGTCTGGTTAAGCCACTGTCACTGGGTTTCTGTTATATGAAGCTCAACACAATTCCAAATGGAGTCGGAGGGCGGGAGCTGGTGTCCCTCAGTCCCCACACGGGCTCTAGAAAACTCACTCTCTTTTGGTCTGTTTTGTTATCTGTAAACCAGAGGTTGGATGATATACCATTTAAACTTTTTTAAAGCACTTTTCGTAGCTAATTTATCATATGCAAACACGCAGTACACATCCAAGCTTCTGTGAGTGTCTTGGGGGATATTATTTAATTTACAGAAACTCAGATTACTGCAACCCAGTGTCTTAAGGAGCACAGCTGCCCTCGAAGTAGAGTACCACAGCTCCTGCAGGTTTAAAGGAAACGTATCTAGGACAGTGGCCGCCCCTTGGGCTCACACATTTGTGTCAAGAAAAAAAAGACTTTTAATAAAAACATCTGGCTATGCACATTTCTGCTGCCTAATAAGTGTGCAGTTATTCTCCCAGTGTGACGGTGAACTTCTGTACTGCCTCCTTCAGTTTACACGTACTGGTGGGTGAAGGAATTATGTCCAGAATTAGATTATGTTAAAGGAAACATTGCAATCTTAAAGCTTCTGTGGTTCTGGCAAGGGAGGCCTAGAGTTGATAACTCTTTGTTTAAAATCTCCCACTAAGATTGTGGCTGTGCCAGTTTTTCCTTATAATTCTGTAAATATTTGCTGTATGTATTTTAAAGTCATTAGGTACAGTCAGGTTCAAGATTGCTTTATCCTATTGGTGAATTATTCCTTTTATCATTATATAGTGTCTCCTTTTTCCCTAGTAATGACTTTTGCCTTAAAGTCTATTTTGCCTAGTATTAATATTGCTACACCATCTTTCTTTTGATTAGTATCTGCTTAGCATAGAAATACTTCCAATATTTCTGTGTCATTATGTTTTAGGTATATCTCTTATAAACAGCATATAGCTAGAGTTTTAAAACTGTAATCTGAGAATCTCTGTTATTTAGGGGCAAATTTAGTCTATCTACATTTATTGTTATTATTGATATATTTGGATTTAATTTGCTATTTTATTTCTCTTATATTTACCATGTTCTTGCTTTGCTTCTTTTTTCCTTTTGCTACCTTCTATTAGATCAAATTTTCTTTATTCTCACCTCCTTTCCCTATACTAGTTTGAATATTACACATTGTATTTTTATTCTTTTAGTGGTTAACTTATATCTCGACATGTATATTTGACTTAATAGGAGATAAAATTAATCAATATCTTTATGCTCCTCCCAAACAATGCCAAGGATCTTAAAAGCTTCAACTCCAGTTACCCAACTCCCGTTTTCCATGTATTGTTATCTATATTTTATTTCCATCTTTCTCTCTTTTTTTTTTTGGTGAGGAATATTGGCCTTGAGCTAACATCTGTGCCCATCTTCCTCTCTTTTGTATGTGTGATGCTGCCACAGCATGGCTTGATGAGTGGTGTATGTCCTTGCCCAGGATCCGAACCCATGAACCCGGGCTGCCAAAGCAGACCACGCCGAACCTAACCACCAGGCCATGAGGCCAGCCTCGCCACGGTGGTATAAATCAATGACTATGTAGATTTATACATGGCTAAATTTCTTTGTTCATTGTGGCAGATTGTATTTTCCAAAGATGGAGGCAACCACATCTCTCACCCCACATGCTCTTCTGCAGTGTAACCTTGACACTCTCCCATCAAGAAGTGAAGCCTAATTCTCCCTTTGAATTTGGGATGACCTTAGTCACTTGTCTTGATGAATAGAATGTGGTGGAAGTGACACTCTGTGATGTCTGAGGCTAGGTCAGAAAAGGCCGTGCATCTTCTGCCTGGTCTCTGGGAACACTCACTCTCTAGACACTCCCATGGAGAGACCATTTGTAGATGCTACAGTCAACAGTCTCCACTAAGCACAGTCTTGAAGTCATCCCAGCTCAGATAACAGGCATATGAGTGCAGAAGCCTCCAGATGCTTCCAGTCCTAAGCCATGTGAGTCATCCCCAGCCATCTAAGACTGTCCAGCTGAGGCCCCGGAACATCATAAAGCAAAGACAAGCCATCCTTGCTGTGTCCCAAAGGTAACTAGGACACTCGCTACTGCACATATTTCCTATGGGTTGTTTCCTCCTTACTAATATACATCCTATCATAGTTCTTTCAGTGAGGAACTTGGGTGATAAATCATATTTTTGTCTGCAAATGTCTTCTTTTTTCATTCTTACTTAATAATAATTTTCATGGATGTAGGATTTGAAGTTGATGGTTATTTTTTGTCAGAACTTTGAGGGTATTTATTCTTGTTGTCATATGGCCTCTATTTTTGTGGATAAGTCATCTCCAACAATCTAATTATTGCTCTTTTTTAAGTAAGCCATGTTTTTCTCTGATTGCTGTTAAGATTATCTTTGATGTTCTGCAGTTTCTATATGTGGATTTACTTTTGTTTATCCTGCCCTGAATCAGTGTGAAGATTCATGCCTTTTTTGCATTCTAGAAAATTTTCATCCATTATTTCTTTGAATATTGCAAATATTGTCTCTCTCCCATTCATTCTGATTTTTTCTTCTGGAACTCCTATTAGTTGTATATTGGACCATATCATTTTATTATCCATGTCTCTTAATCTTTCTTTCAAATGTTCTAGCCCTTTGCCAGAGTGCTGCATTGTTTTTTTTAAATGTTAATGTTTGCAAACTCCTTTTTTTGGAAAGATTCACCCTGTACTAACATCTGTTGCTAATCTTCCTCTTTTTTTTTTTTCCTTCCCCAAAGCCCCAGTACATAGTTGTATATTCTAGTTGTAAGTCCTTCTAGTTCTTCTATGTGAGCTGCTGTTACAGCATGGCTACTGACAGACAAGTGGTGTGGTTCTGCACCTGGGAACCGAAACCAGGCTGCCGAAGCGGAGCGTGCTGAGCTTTAACCACTAGGCCGTCAGGGCTGGCCTCAGAGTGCTGCATTCTGGTTAATTTTCTCAGATCTGTCTTCCAGTCAATTCAGTTGCCTAATCTGCTGGCTTGCCTGTCCATTATGTTTACAAATTCAATGTCCATATTTTCATTTCCTTGGTTCCTTTTCAAATCTGTTTCGTCCTTTTCAAGTCTTTTTCACAGTATCCTCTTCTTTCACTATCATTTTTATTCCTCCTTCTATATTTTTAATTATTTTAACATGCTAATTTCTTTTTTTTTTTTTTTTTTAAGTTTTTTTTTTTTTAATTTTTTCCCCCCAAAGCCCCAGTAGATAGTTGTATGTCATAGCTGCACATCCTTCTAGTTGCTGTATGTGGGACTCGGCCTCAGGATGGACGGAGAAGTGGTGCCTCTATGCGCACCCGGGATCCGAACCCGGGCCACCAGCATTGCAGTGCGCACACTTAACCACCAAGCCACAGGGCCGGCCCCTAACATGCTAATTTCATATCTCTTTCAGCTTGTCCTATTATCCTAAGTTCTTGGAGATGGTGATTTTCCTGTTTGTTGCACTGGCTGACTCTACTTCACGGTAGATGGCTTCTTCATGTGACTTAACTGGTGTTTGTGAGCTCATCTTCAGCGAGGTGGTTTTGTTCTGTGGGAGTCCTGTGTGTCCTGGGTTGTGAAAATGGCCTCAGAGATCTCTTTTGTATTTTTTTATGCCAACTGCTCCAAGGGCTCATCAGGGGAACATTCTTGTGTTAATTTTTCAGCTTTGGGCATTCTTCACCCCGTGGATGGCAGAAATTTGGATGCCACCTCCATGAATAGTTCAGGTTTTAAGTTTTGATTTTTCCCCAGAATCTTTTGTCCCCTCCAGAGCCATAAGCCAAGCCAAGACTCCCTGTCAGTTCCCTAGGTTCCTGATGGACAGCCCTTCTAGGGTTCTAGCTTATACAGGGGTCTCAGCTCCAATTCTGCTTATGGCTACACCTCTTTTTGTGTGTGTGTGTCTTGATTTTTTTATTTTTTATTGGGATAACATTGTTTATAACATTATATAAATTTCAGGTGTACATCATTATATTTGGATTTCTGTGTAGATCACATTGTGTTCACCACCCAAAGACTAATTACCACCCACCACCACACACAAGGGCCACACCTCTTGACCCTGGGTGGGTGTTGACTCTTCAGCACCTGTCGTTGGGGCCCATATCCAGGGTCAAAGCTCAACTCTGACTCCAAGTTCTCTCTGTACAGCGGACAGAGAGAGGTGTTTCCCCACCCTTTTTCAAGTTCCATTGTGGTTTTAACATCTTTCAGTGATATTTTATTCTGAATTTCTCAGTGTTTGCAGGTGGAGGGGAGTCAGTGTTGGTTCAGCCCATGATATTGCCAGAGTCTGAGAGCAGTGGGTCTTGATGTTTAGCAGAGCACTTTGGGGAGTTTTGGGGGCCTGCAGTCTTCAGCCTGGGGATAGCATTGGTTCAGGGGGCTGCTGAACATCGCTGTGTGAGAAATAAACAGGGGGGCCGGCCCCGTGGCTTAGTGGTTAAGTGCGTGTGCTCCGCTACTGGCGGCCCGGGTTCGGATCCCGGGCGCGCACCAACGCACCGCTTCTCCGGCCACGATGAGGCCGCGTCCCACATACAGCAACTAGAAGGCTGTGCAACTATGACATACAACTATCTACTGGGGCTTTGGGGGAAAAAAATAAAAATAAAAATAAATAAAAAATTTAAAGCAATAAACAGGGATTGCAGCATGAGGAGATGGAGCTGGCTCCGAGACAGGGAAGGATACAGAGCCTTAGGGGGATGAAGGACGTCCACGGCTTATAAAGAATGAGCAGTGAGGAATCCTGGGGGCAGCAACATCCCAGGACCTTGAAAATAGTGGTTGTTTGAGCTTTGATTTTGCTTGTTCTCTGTGCTGAGCTGCACTGTAAACCCCCTACCCCCTCAGGCAGCATGACCCTGCTCCTTGAGTCAAAGTTGCTGCTCACAAATGCCTGTGTCAGTGGCACCTGAGTAAAATCAGAGAAAAAGAGCCTATCTGGGGTGTGTTGGGCTGCAGGGAAGAAAATACCCACAGGAAAGGACAGAGGGGTGGGGGAATTCAGCCGAAGGAAGAAATGGGGCAAGGAGGAGCCGGGAGAAATGTGGGGGCCTTAGCTGACCTCCCCACCCCGGAGTCCCTGGAGCCTCTGAGGGGAGGCAGTGGGTTTCCCTCTGGACCTAAAAGAGGGCTCCACGTTATTCACAATAGCCAAGACTTGGAAGCAACCTAAGTGCCCATCAAGGGACGAATGGATAAAGAAGCTGTGGTATATATACACAATGGAATACTACTCAGCCATAAGAAACGATGAAATCCAGCCATTTGTGACAACATGGATGGACATTGAGGGTATTATGCAAAGTGAAATAAGTCAGAGGGAGAAGGTCAAATACCGTATGATTTCCTTCATTAAGTAGTAGATAATAACAACAATAAACAAACACATAGGGACAGACATTGGATTGGTGGTTACCAGAGGGGAAGGGGGGAGGGAGGAGGGTGAAAGGGATAATTCGGCACATGTGTGTGGTGACGGGTTGTAATTAGTATTTGGTTGGTGAACATGATGTAATCTATGCAGAAATAGAAGTACGATGATGTACACCTGAAATTTTTACAACGTCATAAACCAATGTTACTGCAATAAACAAAAAAATTAAAAAAAAATAAAAATAAAAATAAAAACTAAAAATCAAAAAATAAATAAATAAAAAAATAAAAGAGGGCTCCAGCTTTTTCCTTCAGCTCTAAGAACAGCACACCCCACTAGGCGAGAGGACTGGAGGAGCTCACACGGGGGCCCCACTCTCAGAGTGACTCCCACAGACACACACTCCATCTGCAACGCCGTCCTGATTATCTTTATCTTAGAATTAGTGACAGGGTGGAGAACTTTGGAATCAGTCCTGGCTTAACCTATACTAGTTACTCAACCTTGAGCCTCAGTTTCCCCACGTGTAACATACCCAGGGCACAGTCAGTGGGTGGCAGAGACCCGACTCTGCACTGCCAACCATGCTAAGCTGTTCCGTGGTACTTAGCTCAGGGCTGCACATCCTGGGCCCCAGCGAGTATTTGCCAACCGTCCCACTGAAGGAATCAGTGAGTTAATGAAGTCCCCAGTGAGGGCACACGCCAGGGACAGAAATGTGTCCACTCACAAACGGAGAGGATGAAGTGCACAGGGCAAACTGTTGGTGCACACACATATGGTTTCCAAAGCACACGTCTGCATTTAGCAGCTGAAAGACCCCCGGCGGAATCAGCCCTCAGGACAACTTAGGCCCACGGAGACAGAATTCAAGGCCCTCTAGACAGATGGTATAGGCTGGAGCCCGCTCTGGCGATGGACATTTGGAGTCCCAGCTCTGCCATGGGGGGAGGGAGCATCAAGGGGCCCAGGGGGAGGTCACTCTTTGCCTGGGGACTGTGCCGTTGGCCCCAGCACTGGACACAATGACAATGGCCAAAATGAGCATTGACAATGGGCAAAAGCTCCAAGGAGCAGAAGATATGTTCTTATTTTCTGGGCTATTTTGGCTTTGGTGAGGGGCCAGAAGGACCTGCAGGGAATCTTGAAAAATTCTGGGGAGAGGTGGGCGATCTGTCTTCCTGGCCAGCAGAGCTAGTTCTCAGCAACAGGAGCTCCCCTCCTCCCCCGACCATGCCCTCACAGTGGAGTACGCACGGGCTCGGCGCCCAGGTGGCGTGCACACCGTGTGCACATGTGAGGCCCTGCACACGTGCATGCCGGCCTTCTCATGCTCAAGGCCTTCCTTCCTTCACCCCGAGCCCTGTGGCTGCCACCCGCCAACTCCCTGCATCCTACGGCTGCTTCTTCCTCTCCGACATCCGTGCCCCAATTTCAGGCTGGGCACAGGACTGTCCAGAATAAAGGCTACATTTCCTAGTCCTTGTGGCTTGGTGTGACCACATGACGAAGCTTTGGCCAGTGGGAAGCTTCCCAGCTGGGCCCTTCAAGGGATGGGGCATGCCATGCCCTGCCTTGGCCCCTTCCTCCTGCTCGCTGGACTGTGGCTGTGGGGCAAACACTGTGGGCCACGTGGAGAGGGGCAGTACCCAGTGAGGATAAGCAAAGGTTAGAAGCAGCCTGGCCCATGATGACTCTGCAGAGCAGGGCCCCCCACCCACCAGACTTGTACTTTGAAGGAAATGAACCTCTATCTTGAGCCATTTTGAGCCTCTGTCGCTTGCAGCTGCCCTCACAGCCTCAGATCCAGTCGCTAACACGCATTCACCTCTCCAGCAGCTGCCCCTGGCTCGCCCTCTGCCCCTCCTGTTGCACCGTCTCGCCACTCGCTGACTCCTCCTGGCCACCCCAGCGGCCTTTTCCCAGTCCTCATCTCACCCGACGCCTGGGTCGTGCGTGGTTGGGCTGCCTCCCTCTTGGCCCGTCCTTAGCTTCTGTGATGCTACACTCCGGGCCCCTCCCATGTCTCTGATGTCTCTCACTAAGTGTCCTTTGAGGGCCCGATTCCTATGCTTGTCCCTGATGTGTTGTTTTCCCCAAAATTCTGTCTGGAATCATTATGGGGATAAGGGCTAGACTGGCCTTCTGGATGCAAAGGAGTTGAGCTGGGTTTCTGGGCTGAGGTGGAGCTATTGTCTTCCCAGACTCCAAGCCCAGCCTTTTCTTCTGGTTGGACATTGCCCCTGCCCCATGGCTGGGCTCGTGTAGACGTATGCAGGCCGCTGCTCTGCTCATGATGGCCGGCTATACTCCCTCCCTCTGCCCCAGCAATTGTTGTCTTTCTTAGTTTCCCAAACAGGGCTGAGTGTCCCTGGAGTCATCTCTGCGGAGCCGTGCTGGCCCTCACCCTCCTGCTGGGCTGCCTCCTGACAAACGCATGGCTCCCCTCCCAGTCCTCCGGCGTGGGCTGCCGATGCCCCTGTCTGGGAGACGTGGCTGAGCCGGGGGCTGCCCTGGCCGTGCTGGGTCAGAGGTCCTCAGTGCACATGATTCACTCCCCTGCAGGCCCACCAGGGCTCCAGGGGCCCCACCCTCCAGCGGGAAGACTGAGGGCTCACCCAGGGCCCTAAGAAAGGCACTGATGTCCCCTCCAGTAAGGGGAGGGCTGCCCCCTTAATGGTAAGAGCTGGTATTTACTGATGAGTGCAGTTCCCTGTGCTAAACACTCAGCCATTCAGCCTCCTATCGGCCCTCACGGTGGCCTCTTCATTCCCGCTTTGCAGACGAGAAAGCCAAGGCTTGGAAAGGGCAATCTGCTGGCCCAGAGGTTTATGGCTGCTAAGTGGCAAAGGCAGGATTCGAACCCAGCTCTGTCCAGCACCAAAGTTTGTGCACTTACCCACTCCATCGACCTCCTTCCCTGGTGACTCTAGAGGCTCCATCAGATTCCTCCAGCTCAACAACTGGCTGCCCCTGCCGGGCTGAGCATCCACCACGTGACTGGCCACTCCCAGATCTGTATCCCCAGCCCTGTCCATGGCCTAAGCTTCCGTGTGGGTTCTCAGGTGCCCATGAGCCATCTGACTTGCTGACTTGCAGCTGCCTCGGACTCAAATATCCCGAGCTCAGTGTATTCCTCCCAGACTCGCTCTCAGCAGGTCTGCGTCCCTCCCCTGCTACCTGGCATCACCTCCTACTGTCGCCGGGGCTTAGCTTTGGCTCTCCTAGTGTGCCCTGTTCAATCCTGCATCACCTCCTCCTGGCTGCCCCATCACCACCCGCTAATAGCTCTCCTCACCTGCACTCAGCCCTCTGTTGTTCTGCCTGACGCATCTCTCCCTAAAGCAGATTGCTCCAGGCCCCTTGACCCTTGGCTCCTGCTCAGAATCCTTCAACAATTCCCTATTTTCTAGAGAATAAAGTCCAAACCCTCCTTAGCGTGGCCTTTGTGATCTAGTTCCTTGCTGTCACCTCTCCCCACACACTGAAGGACCACTGCTCCACTCTACCACTGGGCTAGACAGTGCTAGCTGCCCATTTTCTCCTTCTTTCTTAATATTAGAAACCCAAGTTTTAGCTGTTCCTCCAATAAAGACTACATTTCTCAGCTTTCCTTGCAGCTAGTTGTGGGCGCATGACAAATTCTGGTCAATGAGATGTCAATCAAGGCCCTCCAATAAGTCAACTTAATAGGGAGCTGACTTAGCTGAGAAGAACGCCTCTTGGGTCTTTCTCCTTCCTGCTGTCTGGAATGCTGATGTGCTGGCTGGAGCTCCAGCAGCCCTTTTGGTCCATAAAGTGACTTTGAGGGTGGAGACCAGTGTTAGAATGATAGAGCCGAAGAGTAGAGAAACCTGAGTTCCCTATGGCCTGGACTGCCTACTTTCAACTTATTTCCTGTGAAAAAGAAATGAACATCTCTTGTTTCAGCCACTATTCTTTTGGATATTCTGTTATATGCAAGCAATCCTAATCTTAACTGATAGAACCAGACAGCACTATACAAAATTACATTTCTGTGCCTTTGCATATGTGGTTCCTTCTCCCTGGACTGCCTTTCTTTCCTTTCTTTCTGTGAAAGCCTAATTATCTTTCAGGGATCAATTTTAATATCTGTTGCTCCACAAAACTTTCACCAAGTCCCTAGGTGTAACAACCCCCTACTGCACCCACGGTCTTCCCAGCCCTCAGCTTGGCTCTCTTGTAGCACTTACCTAAGTACAAGGGCACGGTTGATTGACTGGGGACAAGGATTAGATTTTCTTCAATCGCTGGTTATCCAGAAATTGGACAGTGCTTGGCACACAGTAGCTACTCAATACATTTCTGTTGAACACACACACACACACACACACACACACAAACACACACACAGAGACACCCAGGGCAGGTGCCACAGTCTTCCCAGGACAGATACCCTGACAGATGTGTGTGGGATGAGGGGAGCACAGGGAGAAGGAAAAGGAAGCAAAAGAGGAGGGGGCGTGCCTCTCCCCCGCCCCTCCTCTCTCCTCCCCTCTGAGCAGCCACATCGGCCCCCAGCATTGCCTCCCTCCCCCAGCTCCCCTCTCTGGCACGCTCCACATTCACACTGAGGAGGGTGCTCTGGTGCTGGTGCGGCAGGAACCAGGGGACTCAGGGCGGTGGAGGCAAGTCGCAGAATCAGGGCCCAGGAACATCTGGATGGGGCATCAGGGTGGAAATAACAGCACAGGCCTAAGTAGGGGCTGGCTACTTTGCTGACATACCCTGGTCTCCCTCTCCTGCCCTCCGCCCCGCAAGGCCCAGGGTGGGGGTCCAGCTATTGACCCAGAGGGTTTGGTGGATCCCCAGAGTTATTAGGGGGCTCATGGGCAGCAAACGAGTGCTCAGGACTTTAGGTGGGAGCCTTTGTGGCCCCCGACGATTTCCCTCCAGGATGTCAGACTCACAGTCAATTCCGTTTCTCTCCACCAGGCGGCAGTGCTAGCCAAGCCTTCTGGCTTCCGTGGCAGGTTTTCTGAGGGCGTGTGGATGCTCCATCATTCATCAGCTCGCTCAGAATCACCGTTTTAGGGCTGGAAGGGAATTTAGCCAATATATAATCAAGCTGCAATTGACACGCAGTTTGAGGGTCCTGCTGGATGGATTTTTCCGTCTGTATACACACCACCCGATCACGCTGGAGAACATTCCCAGCACCCCAGAGGCTCCCTTGTGCCCCTTCCCAGTCATCACCTCTCAAAGGGGAGCACTATCTTGACTTCCACACCCCAGGTTAGATTAGCCTGTTTCTGAACTTCACATAAAGGGAAGCTGTGGTGGGTGCTGTTTGGATCTTCTCTTAGATCAACACCACAGCGGTGAGGTCGGATCACGTTGTTGGGGATAACAGTAATTTGTCCGTTTTTATTGCCACGAGTATCCCGTGGTGTGACTACGTGGCAGCCTATCTTCCCATTCTCCTGTTGATGGCTGTGGGAGGTGGGGTTCCCCGGGGAGCAGCCCCTGAGACAGAGATAACTGACGGGGCTAATTAGGGAGCGCTCTTGGGGTCAACCCCGGTGGAAACAGGACGGGACGGAGGGAGAGCCGGACTGCAGTGCAATTGCGACAAAACCCTCAGCTGACTGACCACTTGAGGGTAGCGATCCAGCTCCCGGGGGAACGAGTCCTTCATCCCTGAAGTGGGATCTGAGCGGTGCATCAGAGCATCCAGCCCAGGGGACACTGGGGTTTTCTAGTCAGGGGCTGTCATGAATAAGGCTTCTCTGAACACTTGTGGACATACGCACCTCAATCCGCTGGGTTTTCAGGGAGGACAGGAATCGTTGGGTTATTAGGTAGACAGGTGGGCAATTTTTATAGAAACCGCCACACTGCACTGTTTGGCACTGACAAATCCTTGCTGGCCACCTACTGTGTGCATGGCCCTGATTGTTCTAGGGGCTGGTTTCCAGGCACGGCAGCCCGCTGCCCTCTGAGATTTTGGCCCAGTGGGGAACAGTTGAGCAAGGGCAAGTATAATACGGTAGGAGTCCCAGGGCCCCGATGGCAGAAGAAACAAGGGGCTGGGCTGCTTAGCACTGTCCCAGATTGGGCTGGGTCCCACTGGCTTCCTGCTTTGGCTTGGCTGCAGGCTGGCAGGAACTCTGGGCAAGCCCTCAGCTGTAGGGCGGACACTGAAACCGCTGTCTAGTAGCTCTCAGAGCACTTCAGGCATCTTAGGAGCTGGCCTGTGTGAAGGACCCTTGTAAGGATGGGGCCCTGGGCAAGCTGAGGGTTGACTGCCAGTGCGGTGACCCTGGGGAGGGGGGTACTCTGGGGGGCTAGGGGTTGGGTGGAGGAGGTGCAGAGGCCTGAGAAGTCTCAGCCCCTCTGACCTCCCGGCTGGGGCACCCCTCCCAGGTTTGAGGGCTCACAAGGCCTCAGCATGTCCTGCAGTACTGACCACAGCCAGCAGGGGCCGCCACAATCACTGTCTGGAGGCTGTCCTCCTCTCTAAGGGCCAGTCACTGCCTTCCTGGAAGGCACATTGACAATAGCCTAGCTGTACTGGGGGCCTGGAGGCGAGGGAAGGGTGCAGTCGCCATCCTGGGGCAGCCTCCACCTCACACTCAGGCAACCAGTCAGCAACTATCCGTAAAGCTCCTGCTAGCGTCAGCCCAGTCGAGTGGGGACGACGTTAATCACAACTAGAAGCTCAGAAGGGTGCAACGTGGCCCAAGTGAGGAGGCTTGAAGGGGCACAGCGCAGCGGTTAAGGCACCGGCTCTCAGGCCAGACTGCCTGGGCCGAGTCCTGGCCTGTCACTTACTCCTGTGTGATTGTGAACAAGTTGCTTCACCTCTTTGTGCCTCAGTTTCCCCATTTGTAAAATGGGAATGATTACGGTCATCCCCCCTTATCCACCCCTTATTCACTTTCCATGGTTTCAGTGACCCACAGTCAACTGCAGTCCGAAAATATTAAATGGGAAATTCTAGAAATAAACAATTCTTAAGTTTTAAATTGCTTGCTGTTCTGAGTAGCATGATGAAATCTCTTGCCATCCTGCTCCATCCTACCTGGGACGTGAATCATCCCTTTGTCCAGCATGTCCACGCTGTATCTGCTACCCGCCCCTTAGTCACTTAGTTGCATCTCCGTTATCAGACCGACTGTCGTGGTATGGCAGTGCTTGTGTTCAAGCGACCCTCATTTTAAAAGCACAAGAGGGCCGGCCCAGTGGCATAGTGATTAACTTCACATGCTCCACTGTGGCGGCCCGGGGTTTGCGGGTTTGGATCCCGGACGTGGACCTACACGCCACTCACCAAGCCATGCTGTGGTGGCATCCCACACACAAAATAGAGGAAGATCGGCACAGATGTTAGCTCAGTAACAGAGATGTTAGCTCAGCAACAATCTTCCTCAAGCAAAAAGAGGAAGATTGGCAAGAGAATGTTAGCTCAGGGCCAATCTTCCTCACCACAAAAAAAGAAAAAAAGCACAACAGTAGTGATGCTGGAAATTTGGATATGCCAAAGAGAAGCCATAAGGTGCTTCCTTTAAGTGAAGAGGTGAAAGTTTTCAACTTAATAAAGAAAGAAAAAGAATCATATGCTGAGGTTGCTAAGACCGATGATAACTTTTACTGTATATTGTTATAATTGTTCTATTTTATTACTAGTTATTGTTGTTAATCTCTTTCTGTGCCTAATTTATAAATTGAGCTTTATCATAGGTGTGTATGTATAGGAAAAAACACAGTATATATAGGGTTCAGTACTATCTGCGGTTTCAGGCATCCACCGGGGGTCATGGAATGTATCCCCTGTGGATAAGGGGGGACCCCTGTACAATAAACAGAATCTTTTTGAGAAGTTGCCATGAGGATTAGCAAGTTAATACAGTACTGGACTTAGAACAGTAGTGCATGTTAAATAAATAAATAAATAAAGTGTGTGACGGGGGCCTGCCTGGGCAGCCCGGCCCCCTAGATGTCATGTCTGAAGCAGCATTTCAGTTCCTCAGAAGCCCACCCCACTGAGGTCCTGAAGATGGGACCCCCCACCTCAGCCTGCTGGTAGTGGGCAGCCTGCTGTCTACAGCTTGTCCAATAATTTTCCACACAGGCTGAGGCTCATGCCCGGATTTCCCTGATAAGATTCTGTAATTACCTCTTTTATAGGAATGTGGTTTATCAACAGGTGCTCTTGGCTCCAGCCCTCTGGGCACCACTCCAAGCAGCCAGCAATAAAGGTGGAGCCAGGGCAGGGGATGGGGGGAAGGAGGGATCTCTGGGGCCCCTCATCTCAGGCTGGACCAGCTGGAACCATCAACCTTGGACTCGCTGTGATTGCTGTTAACTTCTCACCAGTTTGCCTTTGGCCTTTGGGAGACTGCTTCTAGAGAGAACGTGAGGGAGCCTGGCAGGGGGCGTGGGGTGGGAGAGAAGGTCCAGGGTTGCAGCAACATCTTCTCAAGTCAACTGGGGCCACGCTGCTGTTGCCTCTCCATCGTCAAGACCAAAGTCACAGCATGTTGGGGCTGGAAGGTACCCACAGACCAGCTCATCCTGGCTTCCTGTTTTACGCATGGGGACACCAGGGCCCTGGGAGGGCAAGGTAACATGGGAGGCAGAACCTGAGGCTCCAAACCCCCATCCTCCCCACCCCCACCCCCAACCTTCCACCCCAGTCAACAGCACCACTCTTCCCAGCTCCTCCAGGGACACGCACGAGGGATGTCCACTCCTTCCGCCAAGTTCAGATTAGTCACTATCGTGGCCTTGACCTAGAGTCTTGGGAAGGGCTTAGCCTGAAGGTGGAGGGCCAGGGTGCTCCCAGCCTCCAAACTAACCAAGGGCCTTGCCACCTAGAGTGGGGTCCACCTTGTTAGAAAAGCAGAATCCCAGACCTTCGGAACCCATCTGCATTTTAATAGAATCCCAGGAGATTCACGTGCACGTTGCAATGTGAGAAGCACTAGGTTAGGGCAAGCCACCTTCCCTCTACCAGCCCCAGTATCCCCATGGAAATGGAGGGGGCAGGACGACTCTGACTTCTTTGCCACTGTTAACACACTGGGAGCCACACCTTTGGCGTGACCTCCGGTGGGACTGTTTGCATTTTGTAGTGGATTCTGGAAAGTGGAATTCCAGCTCCAGCAGGGCTGGGGGAGAAATCCACACCACTCCCATTCTGTCTGCCTAGCCCTTCCCTCTGCAGGAGACCCAGGTCCTAGGATGCAGCTAATTCAATTCAATCCACTTCAGCAACATTGATTAAGTGCCTTCTGTATGCCGGGGTCTGTAGCCCACTCTGGCTGCACATTAGAATTATCCAGAGTGCTTTTACACACTACTGATGTGGGCCCCACCCCAGGCCACTGAAATCAGAGTCTCAGAGGGAAGGTGGGCTTAGGTACTCATTAATGAGCCTTAGGCAATTATAATGCAAAGCCGGGTTGACAGCAAATGCTCAGAAGTAAGAGAGAAGTCTACCCTGAATCCTCCCCAGGGCATCTCCTCAGGCTGGCCAGCTGCGGGTTTACTAGAGCCAGGAGAAGTCATCAGGAAATTCCCTTGATAATGTAACTCGTGACAGCAACGTCTAATTAATCATCAACGCTGTAACCCGGCCCATATTAAGGGAACCTGCCAAGTCTAGAAACCTGTTCACTGGCCTTTTCCAGACCATTCTTTCTAGACCTGTGCCTGAGGACCCCAGGCTGATGGGTGCCCAGCTCTGCTCCCAGGATGGTAAGTGAGAGCCATGAACTTGGTCCCTGGGGATGCAAGAAGCAGAGGCAGCCCTGTGTCATTGATGGGGTAGAAGTTTCGGGAGGCAGAGGTGTGGTCAGTGTAAACATTGCTCAGAAAGAGCTTCTGATACAGGCGAGGCTGCCCTAGGTAGTGAGCTATAGCAGTGTCGGGGAAGAGGGAGAATCCCCCTCTGCCCTTTTCCTTAAGGTTCTTCTGGCTGGCCAAATAATTAAAAGACAGGTGAGCAGGAGAAAATAATACCAAGTTTAATAACATGTATACACGGGAGAAGCCAGAGAAACTGAGTTTCTCAACACAATGGCAGAGATTCTCATCTTAAATATCAATCTTCAGCTAAAGACAAAGGAGGATGTTGGGGGTGGAGAGGGAGACAGAAATCACAGTTATCAAGGGTATATAGATTTAAGGCCTTCTTCTTCCATCCTGATAAAAGGCCATCCGCCCTTTCCCCCAGAGAGGGAGATACCTTTACAAATGGAGATTTCCCTTATAAATGTAAATGTTTGTCTGGCAACTCTTAGCAGGGCCACCTAGAGAATGTGGCCGGGAAGAGACAGACTTTTTGATAAGATGGGCTTGTTGGTGCCTTTCCTATTGTAACATCCATTTTACATTATATTACAGCCATCAGATAGTAACTCTTTCCTGGAACAGGTCTTCTATGTTAAATTCTTTAGGCAGTTAGTGGGGGAGGTCAAATGACCGTGAGAGAAAACAATCAAGGTAAAGAGACAATTTCAGGGTGGCCAAATCTTGATCTCCCACAGTAGTAAGCCTCCTTTCCCTGCGAGAATCCAACAGAGGCCGGCGACTCAACATCCTTACAGTGATGGAATGACCCACATGACCCATCTGCCTTCGGGTCCTGTTGTGCAAAGAGGAGACTGGCTGGGGTGGGAAAGAGCATAGAGTTTAGGGGGCCTGCTGGAAGACAGGGTCCCAGCTCCGCCAGGTCGAGCAGTGGGACCTTGGGCAAGTCACTTTTCCCTAGGGCCTCAGTTTCCTCAACTGCAGGCCAGGGCCAATGCAACCCACCCCGCCGGCTTACAGAGCTGCCAGAAGCACAACCCAAAATGTCACTAGGCACGATGGTTCTCTGCAAGCATCACCGGAGGCCACAGCGTTCCCTTAGTGTGCAGGGCAGGGGATGGAGAACCTGGGCTTCTACCACCAGATCTCTGCATCTCTGGACCCTGCTCCCTCCCAGGCAAAGAGCCTGGAGCCTTGGCCCTTGGCCCCCTAGCGGCACTGAAGGCTCACACATTAGCAGCAGGTGGCACCCAGAGCCTGGGGGCGGGGAGAGGGACCAAGCCATCGCTGCTGCTGTGTTTGGATGGCCAGCAATGGAGCCATGAGGGAGGCAGTGCAGGAGTGCAGGGACGAGGAGCTGGGCCCAGGCGCCCCCACTGCTGGCTGCGAGATGGCAGCAACTTGCACAACCTCCCACGCTCAGTTCCCTGTGAGTGCTTCCCTGTGGGATTGTGGGGAGGAGTAAAAGAGGCTGTAAAGCGCTTAGTAAGTGCCTGGTACCCGGAGAGGCTTGATGGCTGGAGGGGTAGTGACGAAGATGATGACGATGTAGGAGGTCCTTGCTGAGCAGGAGGCTGGCCCTCAGTCACCCAGATTCCAAGAACCTTGCTGCAGAGATTGTCTGATTTGAATCCACCTGTGGCTGTCGGGGGTTGGGGGAGCATCCAAAAGGCCATGTGTTCCCTGAACTCCTTGGCAACCAGCCGAGGGGAGTACTTGTTGTCAAGCCCAGCACACGGTTGTCCCCGGCAGCAGTGGGGAGGGAGGGAGGCAGGCAGAGTAATTGGAGAGGGTCCTCCAGGGGCATGTCTTCCGCTTGTGGAGCCTCAGGATCCTGCCTGAAAATGTGGCTGATGACACCAACGGCCACCTGTGGGCTGAGGGTGCTCGGGCACCTGGATGCTCTGAAGCCCAGCTCAGCTGGCTGGGGACAGGCCCACTCGGAGAGTCACACTGGGCCTGTGCCCACCTCTGCCATTCCCCACCGGGGGGCGGGTGTACCCACAGCCTAGGCCAAAGGATGGAGCCAGCTCCAAACTCAGGCTGCAGAGCCCAGTGCAAAGCTGAAGAGGAAGGGGCCCCCTGCGGGCAGGTGCCGTCCTGCAGGGAGCTGCGGTGCTGGCCACACGAGAGGGGGTTTCAGTCGCACTCAACCTCGGCCGTGTGCAGTCAACAACCAACGTGATCATAGAGGAGGGTGGGTGTGGAGAGACTGACGCCCAAGGAGCCCTGTGTTCCCCTCGTGGCGGCACGGCACCTTGCGAGGACCACACTCAGGGGGTTGCTGACGGGTTGCAGCAGCAGGGAGTGGAGCCTGGGGGTGCAGCTGGGAGAAGCGTGCTCAAGTTCACTGGCCGCCTCGTGACCTGTCTGCCAGTTGTGTCCTGTCAGCCTCTCCTCTAACCGTGGTGACATGAGGACATAGCTCCCACGGGCCACTGGGAAGTGCCCGGGCAGGGATGAAGCGAGCTTTGCAGACTGTCAGATTCCCGTCCAGGACAAGGCCTGCTCCTTCTGGGGTCCGCAGGGCCTCCCTGCCCAGCGGGGACTCACGCACCCACCAAGGCCATTCCCGGGGTGTCCTTCCTCCTCCCTGCACTGCCTTCCAGTCAGCCAGTGCCCTGGCTCCTCTCCTCTTCCCACCCCCCTAGCCCCAGAGCCGGCCCTGCCTGAGTCAGCCTCTGTCCAGGGCAGCTGCGCAGGGGAGGGAGTGGAAACTCCATCCACCGACCCCTTCCCAAGGGAGGGAAGCCGCTTCTTAGCCAGGACGGGTCATCTCTGCTGGTTACTGTCTAGGCCCAAGGAGCTGAGCGTGATGGGTGTCCGGTTCCCCCACCCCAAAGGTGGCCCCTTTCCCTGTAGAGGCTGCACTGGGCGAGGCTGAGGCCACTCCTGTCTGAACCCCAGCTCTGCCCCTGCCTGCGGTGGGCCCAGAGCCAGCTGCTTGCCCACCATCAGGAGGCGTCTTCTGCCTCGCAGGGTGGTGGCAGGACTGGACGTGTGGGGTGTGCAGAGGGCTTCGATGCTGCTCCCCACCCTCACCAAGCCCACTTCAGGGCTTCTCTCCCGGCCCCACCTCAGGGATGGGGAGTGACCCAGCCAAGTGAGGGAGGGGGCCTCCACCCTCCAGGGTGGGTTATGGCTGGTTACACCAGGAGCCTCTACCTTACCCGACCCTAGTCCCCAGGTGGGCACTTAACTCCTCCCATTCAGGATCCCCAGGCAAGTACCGGAGACTCCAGGCCTTGGCTGGCCAGGCATATCATTCCCATGATGGACAAGGAGACCAAGACCCAGAGGGGCAGTGACCTGCCCGGGTCAGCAGCAGAGCTGCCGCTGGAATCCAGGTGTATGACCTGGCTGCCCCCAGAGTCTCCTGGATGCCACAGCAACTCAGCAGTGGGTGCAAGGACAGGTCCATCCAATGTCAGGGCCCTCAACTCTGGCTCCTGGTCATCGTCTGTGCCTGCTCTGTGACACCCCCTTGCTTCTGCTCAGCCTTGAGGAACAAGAGGTGGTAGGCAGACCCGTCAGGAAGGGAGGGAGACAGGAGGGCATTCCAGGAAGGGGCAACGGAGTGGGCAAGGGCATGGGTGAGAGAGGGGTGAGCTTGGACAGCAGGGCTCTGTGAGGGTGGCTTCAGAGGTCCCCAAAGCCAGGGTGAGCACTTGCCCCCAATGCCTCGGTTGAGGGAACCCTGGTAGGCCTGCCTTTGGCCTGTGGAGGTCAGGGACGGGTTCAGTGTGGCCTCAAGGGTGTCCCTTGTGACGGACCAGATTGAGCCTCCCCTCCTTGTGCACTGCTGTGAGTGGTCCCAGAGGGGGGTGTGTGTGGGGTAATTGGGAAGATCTGCAAGGGGAGGGGCCTTGCTCCTCTGGGCTGGGGTCTGGCTCAAGCTCTGATTGAATTCCCCTCTTTTTATTTTCAGCCTCCTTCCTCCAACCCAGAAAGAGCAGCGCCAGAAGGGGAGGAGGGGCGGAGGGCGAGACATAAGGCCTGGGGGCTGGGTAAGAGCAGTTCTGGGGCAGGAAGCGCCACCAGCTTCCTCCAGGCTCCGGAAGGAAGTCATGCCCAGTAAGGACTTCCCCTTCCCAGCTGCCAACTGGAGTCAGCTCAGGAGGTCCTGTGATTTTAAAGCCTACCTCAGACCTTGGCTGGGCCCAGCCCACCATTCTGGGGGGCTGACCCGGGACCCCCTCTCCAGCCTGGACCCCCCACCCCATGGGGAGCTGCCGGGCTCCCTTCTCTCCCAGGACAAGGAAGTGACCCTCACTGGGGGCCATGGCCTTCACAAGTAACACAGGTTCTCTATGGGAAATGAGAAAGTCAGACAAGCAGAGAGGAAAACACAGTACCAACACCGGGACCCGTGTGCCAGAGCTGCCCACAATGAGCATGTCAGCCCATCTCCCTTCAGCTTGTTTCTAGACGCAGATAGAACATACACGTATACAATAAACATAAATATGTGTCCAACAAAACCAGGATCATATTACCTCTACTGTTCTAAAACCTGCTCTTCCTACTTAAGGACAATAATCCCCGTTACCGGGTTTGAGAGCCGGACAGGCACCAGCTACTGTTTTATAACCTCCCTTGGGGAGGGGGCTGAGGCTTGGGGAGGCTCACGGCGGAACTCAGATCCCGGACAGGCAAAGCGGGCTCCTCACCTGGTTCTCACACGGCCGGGGCCAGGGGGGCGCGCGGGGGGCAGGGCGGGGACAGCGGCCCCGGGGGCTGCAGGGGGCGG